CCCGCCCCTGCCCGCTGCCCGGCCTCCAGGGATGAGGGCGATGCCCAGCCCGCCGCTCACCGGCCGCTGACATTCGTGGTGCTCGGCTGAGTCACGGGCACCCTCCGCAGCGCGCTCTCCAGGGCCAGCCTCAGAGGTGGGGGAGGGGGGATGAAGGCGGCCCTGGGGACTCCGGGGTCGCTGGAGGCCCTGGTTCCTATGACTGAGGGAGACTTGATGCAGCTCAGAGGCTCAGTGGCCTCTGGGCCTGGCCCCCCTGGAGCCCCTGCAGAGATCTTGTCTCTGCGTTCCTGCAGCACCATCTGCCTTTGGGCAGCCCCCCACCCCCACCCCGCATGTCCACTAGACCCGGCTGTTACTGCTTTCTCACCACTGGGAATGTCCTTGCTGTGGCAGCCTCTGCCACTCTGAGTCCCCGCACCCTTTTGTCCTTTGGGGCAGTCCTTCAGAGAGGCTGACCCACTCCCTGACCCCTCTGCCCCAGCCTCCTCTGCGGGCCAGGTCATCTGTGTGGAGCTGTGACCACCAGGCTCTCCAGCTCTCTGCCCTGTGCTTGGACAGCCAGCGGTCTGAGAGCTCAGGGCACAGCAGCTTTCAGGGACAGAACCTTGTTGAGGAGCAGAGCTGGGGTGGTGGATGTCGGCAGGCTAGCCCTCACCACTCTGGCCCTGGGAAGGGCAGAACGTGGCACCAGAGAGGCTTGGGCAGCTCGAGTTTCTGAATGGGCCCTGGGGATTTTCCAGGACGGGCCCAGAGCAGGCTGGGTCCCAAGTGGGGGCCTGAGGAGGAGACATCCTGCCCACCTGGGGCCCGGGTCGCTCCTGTCCCATCTGGTCCTGAGACCTCTCGGGCTGAGTCCCTCCTGCCTGGGTCCCTCCTTGAGAAAGGCCTTGAAGTGCACAATGAGAAGGTTGGGGCTGCGAACAGGGCAGGGTGGCCGTCATCACCATGGCCTGGCAGGGTTCTCCTGGGCACCTGGCCCTGGCAGGGAGCCAGGGTTGGTACACACACTGCCTGCCCAGAGGGCCTGGGCTGGCTGGTGCTGGGTCAGGCCTGTAGCCCCAGGCAGCCTCTGATGTGGTTTCCTCCACCTCAGGTTTTGGGTCACTGGGGGTAGCAGGGTGGGGCTTGGGAGAAGAAGGGGGGCCGGCGTGTGGGTAGGCGTTGGTATCAGCCCCAGGGTTCTTGGTAGGAAGGGACCCCCAGGGGCTGGGAGCAGAGGCTGGGGCGATGGCCCCTGCATCCACTGGAGACCCCAAGGCTCAGAGAAAGGAGCGATGGCTTGCAGGGCACCTGGCAACACCCAGGAGTGTCCCCACCTGCAAGGTGGGACCTCACTCAGAACCTTCCTGTGCCCTGCCCCGAGGCAGTCCCAGGGGCTGGGCAGGCCACGTGGAGGTCCCGGGCCTGCTAGCGCGGCGAATCAGAACTTCCTCCAGAGTGACTGAGGCCATGCCGCCTGACACTGTGAAGCTGGCGATGGCCCGATGCGGGGCACACTCCTGCTGGAACCCCCTTTCCCAGGAGAGCCTTGGGCCTCAGAGCTGGACCCCTGGGCCTGGCTGACAGAGGTTTTGCCCTGCGTGCCGCGTGCCTCGCTGGCGGTGCGCCCCGTGGAAAGCTCGGTCTGATGTGTAGGAGCCAAGGACGTCGGTGCCTGGCTTGCTCCCTCTTCCAAGCTCCGTGCCTTCATTTCTCCATCTGTGGGTGTGGCCTGTGACCTCTTAGTTAGCTGGACCTGGCCTACCACCGGGTGACCAGCTGTTCCTGGGGGAGGGCCTGGATTACAGGCACCGAGTCACCGGGGTGGGAGGCGGTAACTCTATCTGTAGGTCTCAACTGCTCTGCCCTTGATACAGAAGGAGGGGGCTCAGGCTGCGGTGGGTACCTAGGCCCCAGGGACAATCTGGGGGGACTGGACTGGTCTCAGGAGACAGGGGTTTGGCTCCCTCGCAGGCCCCTGGGTGGGATGCGCAGGTGTGACAACCTGTGCTGCTGCCTGTAACCAGATGCCCCTCCGCCCGCCCTCCCGCCCGCCCAGCGGGCCTCTCCTCCCTGCAGCGCCTGCGCAGCCGTTGCTATAGTGATGGGGAGGCGGTGAGGCCTGTGCTGCAGTTGCAAGGTGGAGGTGCCTGGCGGCAGGGCGGGTGTGGGGGGGGCTGGCACCGCGGCCGTGACCCTGGCCTTCAGGGTCGCCACTCTCATGCAGCCACCCTCTCCCTGTGTGCGTGCACGTGTGTGGCATGCGCCTGCCGTGAGCCCTGTGGGTGCCCACGACGCCTCCTGGGCCAGCCGCGGGCTGGATCCTGGCCTGGGGAGGGGGTGGAGGCTGGCACGGGCTGGGGCGGGTGTGGGGCACGGACGCGGCGGGCTGTTCCAGACCACAGAGCACTGTTGTCAAAGCACAGTAAACACAGCGGCAGCTGCCCCACCCCAGGGGACCAGGAGCTTGCTCCTCGGGAAAGGCAGAGCACGCTGCGATGGGGGCTCTAAGTCAGTTTTGGGGTGGGGGTGAGGACGAAGGAAATCTGGCGCCTCTGAGAAGAGCTGGGTGGGGTGGGGGTCACGGCGCGCCCTCCAGCAGCTAGCCTGAGAACCCCCTCCTTCCCCTCCCCAAGCGAGGAGAGGCGGGGCGAGAACGGCGAAGTCCCATTGTCCCAGTGGAGCTGAGGGAGACCCGGGCCCTGGCCCCGGAGTCCTGTCCCACCGGAGCAGGTCCGAGCGGGGCTCTGCCAGGCGCCCAGCCTGGGGTGGCAGCGGCTGTCCTAGAAACACTGAGTGAGGCCCAGGGTGGGCACCCAGGCTGAGGACGAGGGCTCAGGGCAGAAGGAGGCGCCTGAGCCTCGGGGACTGGGGGCTGCGAGACCTCCGAGTGCGTCTTCCCGGAGGCTCAGGCCCCAGCCAGGCCTCCCTGCAGGCGGGCGAGAAGACAAGCTGGGCACACGCACGGGTCAGAGTCGGCCACAAGCTGGCCGATTCG